TCGCACTTCTCCTAGCTCACTTAAACGCCTTGGTTGACTGCCTTAGACTGTTTCTATCTTTCTTCTTGTCCTTCATCTTGGTGTGCTTTTCAGTCACAGCATTGCCTGCTACACCCATTAGTTGCGCTGCCTGATTAACATATCCATACCCTTCATTGAATTGCGAAATTGCTGCCGCCGTGCGGAAATCACTACTCTCAGATCCACCGTAGTGACAAATATTTGGTGCTTTCGTACCAATCAAACTGTTGACGTATTCGTTTCGCTGGCTGGACCCACATGGAGCAAGCTTTTTGGCTGCCTCTTCAATGAGAAAAGGTTTCATAGCATCCTCGATACTAGCTCGCAGATCGTCTCCCTAGAATGACACAATTTTCCATTATCCAAGCGACACCAAAACACTTTGAAAAAAGCAAGAATGCCTGTCGACCAAGATGCTTTGCGGCCGAGGTTTTGATTTTCGTATCATACGGACATATTTTGGTGAATTGCCTTTATCTAACAATATTGCGCGAAGTTTGCTAAGTATAGTTTCTCTGCTAATTATTCAAAGATTTATTCTAGTGCAATTTTCACATTTTGTGAGTTAAAGCATCTTGACCGCAAAGCATGCCTTTCGACAAGCATTATTGAAATCTAATTGGCTCCCATACTCGCTATCTATTCCATGATAGATGCTCAGTATAACTTTTATAGGTCATCCCACGCTATATACCGGTAAAGTATCTTTTGTAGAGCTCATCTACTATTCTCTGGCTATAGTGCTCTTGTCTTGAAAAGTGTAGAATGTACGAAAACCAATGCGAACTCCCCTCACTCCTGGTAACAGGTAGCAGCGTTCCATCCGTGATTGACAAATTGTGAATTTACCTGAAGATCTCTTCCACCAGGAAGGTCACCATGACTGTAGTTTTCTGGGTCCTAATTGCATGTACACCATTCTTTGCAAAGAGTGTGTTCTCCGAACACATGTGGCACTATCGACTTCAGCCCCTCCAACAATGATGACTTCTTTTCCCTTGTTCTGTCTTATACATGACGTGAAGCATCTTTGTATATATCCAATAACTGCTGGGCTGAGACCCTTCACTTTGGACTTGACAGCATACAGTCTGGAACCCAACGTGCGGCTTGCTTGATTGATGTCGCTCCATTTTTCTATGTCATAGGCTACCAATGACTGTAACCGATTCTCTGTTGTGCTATCGTCATCACCAACATACGTCGAGTAACGTACGCCACCTTCGACTGCATCACCAAATAGCTGCACTGCAACGTTGGCCTCCATACTTTTGGATGAGCCTTGGTGATTACGACAGCAGTCGTGCACAGTGTGCTCCCTGTTGTTAGCAACAGCCTCTTGACACACTCAGCATAAGGTATTCCGCGTGGCATAGCTGATCACTTTTCCCGTCTTTAGCCCCACTGCAGTCCCCACTCTGGATGAGGAATCATAGCTCTTGCCACGCTTTCTCCATCCCATGTCGTAGGACACGACCACTGTCACTGGCCCTTCCCCTTGACCGTCATTCTCTGAGAGGTCCCTTTCCATCTCAGTAAACGCGGCACACGACCGCTTGGCCACATTCTCAATGGCACTTCCAGCTTCTCGTTCTCGTTTCTTGAAGTTTCGTGAAGTCAGTGAGGGAAGACCAAGCATAGACATCAAACCAGAGTACTGTGAATGGCCGATTCCGGTATGCAAGGCCCCAAGACCTGCTCTGGAATTTATGTCAAGAGTGGCTGACCCCCGTTTGCCAGTTCGGTGGCTCTCGGCAGGGCGGATACTGTTGATGGACCAACAATTACTGCATTTTACTTTTAAAATAGGTATCGGCCCTTCCAGTCGCTCGTCTTGGCAACTGTTGGCTAGTCCTAACAGCCCCTTATCACAATATTGGCATTTCTCAAGCGCTTCCGTAAGCATTTCCAGGTTGACAATATATTCTTGGCTAGCGTTCCCTATTTTCTTGTACGGCGTTTTCGTGGTCTCGTGGGCAATGAAACTGACGCCTTGCATCATTTTTCTGTTGCAGCTACTTTACTGGCTCTCATCTTTTCACATTTTTCCTCATATTGTCTCCTCTTCGTTCTTTTAATCTCACTACTCTCTCTCGCTGCGCTCTCTGGGGGACTCTCCTGATGGAAAAATACAAAGTCCGCAATATTAGGACGTCCTATCATGATGTCAATGATATTTAAATCAAGCTCAATAATCTTCAAATAACTCTTAAAATAATGCACACTTACGAACCTGAAGCACAATCTCTTCTCCGTGAACCTCCTTTCTCACTCGAATAGCATTCAACACCCCGGCCATTTTCTTTCTAGAGTTTTTAATTCTCGGCATGATGCACACTCAGCTGGTTGGAGACGTTGCGTGACGGGAATCCCTTCTATTTTTTCATTCTAATTATCACATGTCAGTGAGCATTCGGAAGTCAGCCAAGCGTGGTCATTGCACACGTGCTGAACAAGAATGCTGTATAATGACAGACTAGATACAATAGACAACTCCCAAAGCACAATCTCAGTACTCAAGTTTGGGCTTATAGAAGACAATGTCACAGTTTTTCAATGACCATGAAATTCATAGTCCGGGTAGTTAGTAAATCAATCGTGGCCCAGAAAAAATTTGAAGAAAAAAAAAACTACGAATTTTGAGGAAAATGCTTTATTCGTGAGAACGACTCTTAAACGCTGACAAACGTCAACAAATAGCAAAAACTATAATTTGTATATGTTTTCTTTGCTCGAAATCGCGCGCATTTACAAGGCCCTAAAGCTTTTTGCTGACTTACAAGGACCTATCTGTTACAACAATCCCCAAAATAAAGGGATC